CAAACCACCCAGAAACTTAAGACCTCACTCTCCGAAACCTTAACCAGCTTCTACCCTTTTGCCGGCAGAATCGATGGCCTCGTTGTCGACTGTAACGACGAAGGAGCCATATTCATGGAAGCCACTCTCGGCAACTCTACACTCTCTGGCTTTCTCTGCTCCCCGCCAGATTCAAATGAGATTCAACAAACTTTGCTTCCTCTCCACTCTGTCCGTAACCCAAACGAGGCCTCTATAACGTGGCCTCTTCTGCTCGTGAAGGTGAGTTATTTCCAATGTGGAGGTTTGTCCCTCGGAATCTGTATCTCCCATAAGCTCGCAGACGCAGCCTCCTTGTCAACGTTCATACGGGCTTGGGCTGCGGTCGCTCGAGGAGAGAGTGGCACGGTGGGCAAACCTGAGTTCGCGGGGATAAAAGTATACCCACCAGCTAATGACGACTTCAAAGTTGCTAAGATACACACAAGTAAGATAACAGGTGTGACTAAGAGATTTGTTTTCAGCGGGTCAAAGATAGAGGAGCTCAAGACCAAAGTCGCACAACCACGACCTACTCGGGTCCAGTGCGTCACTGCTCTTCTATGGAGATGTGTCTGTGCTGCATCCAAGACTGCAACGTCTACGAGAGCACTGGTTCAACCTGCTAACTTGCGCACTAGGATACCTTCTTTACTGTCGGAAAACCTAATAGGAAATGTCATCCACTCTACCATGATTTTAAGTCGGAGAGGCGAGGAGATCGAAATTCAAAAAACTGTTAAGGAGTTACAGGAAAGGGCGGAGGAGTTGACCAGTCTTGTTCAAGAAAATAATGGGTCCCCCACGGAGCTCGGTTCTAAATCGTTAGGTAAAATGTTTGATGATTGCTCCAAGTTAAGCAACGAGCCTGGCAACTTGATGTACGCGGTGACTAGCTGGTGCAAGATGCCGTTTTATGAGGCTAATTTTGGAAACGGATCTCCTGTTTGGGTCGTAGGAAATGTGGCTCCTGGCCTTGACTTGTTGACGATGCTGTTTGATTCCAACGACTTTAAAGGGATCGAAGCGTGGGTGACACTTTCTGAAGAAGACATGCTTTCATTCGAACAAAACCCAGAACTGCTGGCCTTTGCTTCTCCCAATCCTGCTGTCATTTTCTAGATGATGTCTATATTTCGTTCCTACTTTCTTTTATTTTGACAAATCTTTGTGTGTTTTGTTGTTTGGACTCGTGTGAGCGCTTTTTCTAGTTAATTCGTGCCCCCAACAATTAGTGTGTAATGATTCATATATGTATCTTACTTTAATAAAGAACTAGATTTTGATCCGCGCTTGAAAGCGCGGAAATTTTTTACGATTAAAAATTTATATAATTGAGTTTTCTCTTAATTTAAAGAATGTTTTGGTATAAAATCAGTACACCAAAATTTGTGGTGATGATTTTTTTTCATTAGTTTTTAGTTTCAGTTTTCATTTTTAGATTTTATTTTAGATTTTGGTTATTAGTTTTTAGTTTTTAAGTTTCTATTTTTGATTTTCAGCTTTTGGTTTGTGTTTTTAATTTTTAGATCCGTTGAGTTAGTTTGAACTAATATTACCAACAAACAAATCCTAAATAATCGAACATCTACTTTAAAACTGAAAAGATGACAAAAAAGATTTGCAATAGTTTATTTTATAAATAAAAAAAGCAAAAAAATATAACTTGTGTTTTCATCTTTTGGTTTTGATTTTCGTTTTTAGATTTGCTTTTGCTTTACATTTTATTTAAATCAGTAAATTATTTAAGAAAAATAAAACAATAAATTATTTAAAAGTTACCATTGAAATTTATCAAAATAAAGTGATTGTTATTTAAAATAAAAAATACATTAACATGTTTTAAAGTACATGATTTAAATAAATAATTAATAATAAACAATTTTGTTTTGGTAAAAATATTAAATACCTTTTGGAGTGTTTCTTTAATACTAAGCCCAAAAACCAAACTATATAGTTTGTTCTAAAACAAAAGTAAGTCCAAAACTATATCTCATAAATAATCATCGGTTTAATTTAAGTAATGCGGTTCAATTAATTATATGGTTTGTGTTACATATTTGTAACAATTTAGAAAGAGTCCAAATTTAAATGACAACTTGTATCAGTAGATAAAAAAAATAACTCTATTTTAATAGAATAGATTTGTGCGAGAACACATTTCATAACTTCCTGTGGTATTTAGCGTAAATCCTTTCGCAAGACCACCAACTTGTACTTTAATCATCACTTTTATATTTGCTAATATGTTGGAACACGCCAGATGAAAAGGAAATGAATTTTTCTTTTTTTTAAACACAAAAGGAAATGAATTAAAAAGAAAGATGGTGAATGACTTCCTGTGGTATTTAGCGTAAATCCTTTCGCAAGACCACCAACTTGTACTTTAATCATCACTTTTATATTTGCTAATATGTTGGAACACGCCAGATGAAAAGGAAATGAATTTTTCTTTTTTTTAAACACAAAAGGAAATGAATTAAAAAGAAAGATGGTGAATGACTTTCTAAGGGCATGCCCATCAATAAACTTATGGCAGAGTTCATGATTTTAATTTTGTATATTTTTTTTATTACTTTTTAAGAAAAATGATCAATAACGAGTCACCACGTGGCATAGAACTCGCGAAAATAGTCATAAACCGGTTCAGCAGGAGCATCCATTTCGAGCCGAGTTCATCAGAAATAATTATTAAAATATTTTTGTTTTTTTTGGGAAGTGTGTGACCATGTCCTATGAACATTTGCTACAAGCCAATCAGCGAAAACGCAACCAAAACCTCACGTCACATAACACACCAGCTCAACTATAGCTGAGAATTTGGATCAATGCACACGGGTCCAACTTGTTTGACATGTGTAATGATTTTTTATTTTTTTCTCAGCACATGTGTAATGATTCATTAATGAGAGATTGACATTCCAAGTCAAAAAAGTTTGTGTTTATACTATAAGTCACATGTTACTACTTAAACATTTCTTTTAACCTTTTCAATTCATTTCTAACTAAAACGTAACTAAATTATATTAGTAGGATCCACTTATTTTATTTCATCTTCTTCACCATTTCATTTTTTTCACCAGTTTTTTTTTTATTTTTAACTTAATTTTAGACCATTTTTGCAAGAAGGGTGGATAAATTCTTGACCGCCGAACCTCAGCTGATCTCGAGCTCCGCTTGCTGCTACCGACGTCGTGGTATCAATTTGTCTCTCCGTCTACTCCAAGCCGCAACCACCGTACCAAGATTTTATGACCAGTTCTTCGTCTCTAGAATCAAGCTCACGGTTAAGCCTTTCCTTCGTTGAACATGCTCAGATCCGATGTCGTCGTCATGCTTAGCTCCACTGCATGACTAGGTTTATCGTCAGAATCAAGCTTGCCCGCAAAGAGAAAGCTCGTGACCTTCAGTGGTGGATTTCCTCATATTTGTATATCCAGTACTTGAACTTCTGCTCCTTTACAATTCGGCTCCCATATTTTGTAAATTACAGATACACCCTCACAAATTAACCTCTAAGTTTCTAAAAGTGCACTTTAGACCCTGCTATATGCAATATGCATTCAAATGCAATATATACACCTAATATGCAATCTAAATGATCAATATTAAGTAGATGAGATTCCAAAAACCATTAAAATCATAACATATCAGTGTACACTAACACGCGAGAGTCGAGAAGAGTTATGATGGACCAAATATCACATGTGTATACAAAAAAAAAAAAAAATCATTTTTTGTCATTGATACATTAATATATTCAAATTGAAGATTTTGGTATTTTGAAAAACTTTGTTAAGGTGTACACTAACACATGTATACATGTGATCTGGATTGTGTACATGTGTACAATCATGTTTACGTACAACTAGGAATGTGTACATATGAGATGTGGTGGCAACGTACAATAGTGTGGTGGCGTTTATCGAGCAATTGGTGTTTGTGGTAGTGTTGGTGGCAACGATATGGCAAGTGAAACAATTGTGTAGATTCTCTTCGAAAAATTTGTTTCCCATGTTCATGCCATGCCCCATTATCATCATTAGGATTGCCATTATCAACATACTACCGGCCAGGTGTCAAAGTCTAGGGGCCAGACTCCAGAGGATAAAGACCCTCCGGTGAAACGTAACCTCTATTCGTTTTCTGGGTTCCAGTTTGTCACCTCTCTCTATTTCGACATTTCTTTCTTCTTTTTGAGATCAAGCTTTTCCATCTGAAAAAAAAACTTTTCCTTCTGAAGATAACAAAATAATATATATTAAAAAGGTTACATAATGTACAACAAATATAAGCCAATGTCTATGTATTAAAAAAAAAATGAAAAATCATCTATTAGGCATCTGTATATGATCAGCTTCTTTTTTTCATCTATTAGGCATCTGTATATGATCAGCTTCTCGTTTTTCATTATTTCTATATTCCATAAAAACAATATAAAGATCTACGAGTTATATAAAATTAATATACTACATATCTTCACTAAACATTTTATTTTCTAAAATGATATCGAAATGTATCTAAGATTTTTGTAATTTAACTAAATTATAATATTAATAATTTCATCATAATATATATATATATATATATATATATAAATATCAAAAAACTAAAATAAATAATATCACAAAAAATTCAAAGCTATATCCCTATGTTTATTGTTTTCAATCATTTTATAATTTATTTATTTAGTATTTATTAAAACTATTTCAAAATAAAAAATAAACTAAAATAATTTTATAAACATTTATAATATACAATCTGTTATATACTGAATTTTAATCAGGAATATTACACTATTTTATTACACTTATAAAATTTCACTTTTCATTTATCTTTTTATTATTATTTAAATCCAATGTATTAATGTAACATATAGTTGTCTATAACTTTTAACAATCAATGATACAGTTTAAATTAAAATCAATCATTTTTTTTAATAATAAGCAACTCCTCAACGCTGTTTTATATAGTGTTTTAATAAATTTTGATATACTAATTTTGAAACTATAGTATTCAAGACTTTATCTATTTTAAAGAGAGAAACAAATTTAGTGATAAATATTATAATTATTTACATGTATGTGTTAATTTAAATAATTATATATATATAAAAATTTATTAGAAATGAAAATAACATATTATTTTTATTTTCTTAAAATATTTAATAAATTGAAAGAGTACAAAAGGGTCAGTTTTAAATTCTACCATAAACCAAAAAAACCCAGCAGATATTAAAAAAAATAGTTATAATCATGTTAAGTTAAAAAATTAAATTTAAAAAATAAAAATTTGCTGACTAAACATTTTTCATCCAAACTTATATTTAAATATTTTTAAACATTTTATACACAAAACTATTTTGTTTTAGAGAAACTGGGAATATCTAATAATATATGTTAATTTTTTATTGAACAATAAAATGTAATAATTTTTAATATATAATAAATAATATATATATATATATATATAGGATTTCTGTTTTTCATTAACATATATCTAAACAAGTAAAATACCAAAAACTGAAACATAAGAGCATTTATGGATGACAAAAAACGCATCTACAAAAAAAAACTTAATCTAGTCATTTTTTTATTATTTAAGCCTAATTTATTAGTTTAATAATTATTTAAAGACAATCAAAATTTGAGTTAATTATATGTACAATTAGGTGGGTATACAACTTCATTTATCTTCAAGTGCATATGCCATTTACATATTGGTTTTAAACATTGAATTGATGATAGTGAAAGATACTACTAAGCTATTGCAAAACATTTTCTTACTTCGAATAATGTGATTATTTTTTTTTTAATATGAAAACTAGATTTTGACCCGCGCTTTTAAAACGCGGGTATATTTTTACCATTTTGATAAAATTTATTTAAATTAATTATTCAAATAAAAAATTTTAAAAGTTGTTTTCTTATAATGTTTGATTTTCGCGTAATGTTTTCATATCCGATCCAGATCCATAGTTGAACCGGTACATCCGGCAACTGTTATATAATCCAGTTAAGATTTAATTAAAAATTTAAGCAAACCGGTATATATCTTAAAACCCGCTATTAATCTGTTTTATGATATCCATTGATCCGTTAAATAACCCCATAAAAAACTGATAATATATTTTTAAAAATTTGTTACATAACTCATATTTTTAATATTAAAGAAAATTGATCTTTTGTAATTTCTTTAATAAAAAGTCTTGTCATTTGCAAAAAATGAAACAATGGTAATAGAAAAAAAACACAATTTATTCATATGACAATATTAGTTTCTTTTCGTTATTAATAACCTATGATAAGTTTACATTTTTACTCATTTTATATCTAAAAATTAGTTTTTAAAACAAATTGAATTAACATATCTTTATTATGAATAAAATGACACAGTAAATAATAATTTTTAATTTTAAATCGATAAATAATAGGATGCACGGATATATGCTATTAAAAGTAAATAGAAAATCATAATTTTCATAAAAGGAAAATTATTNGTTTTTAAAACAAATTGAATTAACATATCTTTATTATGAATAAAATGACACAGTAAATAATAATTTTTAATTTTAAATCGATAAATAATAGGATGCACGGATATATGCTATTAAAAGTAAATAGAAAATCATAATTTTCATAAAAGGAAAATTATTATTAATCACAAAATAGGAAATATTATTAGTTACCATAAATATAAGAGATATTAAATTGCTTAGTTAATTAAGATTCTAAAAATAAATAGTGGTATTATCTTATAAATATGATAAAAATCTAGGGGTAGAATCCAAAATTTTAACAATAGGATCCTGCTTTAATAGTATAGATACTTAGAACACGGATGTTGGTACAAAAGAATGTCATAAATTCCCACCAAAATATCAGGTAAACGAACAATGTTATCAAACATTTTTAATGTTCAAAAAATCGGAATGCGTATTTAGGTATCTTATAGAAAACCAATTTTTTGAACACTTATTTTTGGGTTCATCCCTTAGGATGAACCTCTAGGTTCACCAACCAATAGGGTGATGTTATTTCATATTTGAGATCTTTTAAAAAAGGAAACAAATCTTATCAAGTTATATTATGTTTTTAAAATAAAATAGAAAAAATATTAATATTTACAAAAACCGAAAAAAAATCTTTAAACATTATATTATATTTTAAAATAAAAGATAAAAATAAAATAAAAACAGTAATAATTGCAAAAAACAAATTGTAACAAAAAATATTTTAATATATCTTTAAAATAAAAAGATAAAAATAAATAAAAAATAGTATAATTGGTTAGTATTAATTTACCCAAGGGTTAAGATTTTTTCAAAAGGTTTATGATTTATCCAAGGGTTTAGGGTTTAGGATTAAAGTTTAGGGTTTAGTGTTAAATATTTTCTAAAAAAGTTTTTTTTCGTTTTTGTAATATTATTATTTTTTATTTATTTTTGTATTTTTATTTTAAAAACATAATATAACTTAACAAGATTTTATTTCTTTTTTAAAAAGATATCAAATATAAAATAACATCATCCTATTGGTTGAGGTTCACCCTAAACGAATTAAAAAAATAAACAAATTAAAAAAATCATTTTGTTAAATCCGAATTTTAGAATATTTTTTTTTAAAAATAAATTGTTCCGAAGACATTCAATGCATAATATTATTTTTCTAACTCTTTTCAATCACACATAGCTTAAGAATTTTTTTAATAAGTTGAAAAATATATATACATCTTTAAATTTAAAACATAGGTTCAAAAGATATAATCTGCGCGTATCGCGGTGAAAAGATCTAGTTTAAACGAAAAGTATTAAAAAACCTATTCATGGGTAAGTCTAGTTTGTATTTTCAATTTTGAAAGAGACTCTCGTCGTTTTAAAGGCTAAAAAAGCAGGATCAAAGCGCTGTCGTAACTATAGGTAATAGGCTTTTCCGAAATGAAGCCCATTAGCCCACTCAATTTGTTTCCTAACATAAACCTATCCGAAATCTTCCTCCGATCCGATCTCCGAGAAGACGAAAACAGGCACATTAGTGACGGCTGCGGCCAGGATGCATTCTCATCATCAAGGGCGAGATTCGGTCTGTTCCTAACTTGAATCTGGTCGGATCTCTGCGGTTCCTAGCTTGAAGCTTGTCGGATCTTAGCTTAAAGTTTGTCGGATCTTAGCTTGAAGCTTGTCGGATCTTCGGAATCTGGTCGGAACTCGGCGGTTCTTAGCTTGAAGCTGGTCGAATCTCTGCGGGTTTAGCATGAGTGATACTGTGATGATGGTTGATGATGGAGCAAAGTCAAAGGAGGATGGATGTAGTAGTAATGATAACGACAAGAAGATGAATCTTGAAGAAACATGGACCAATATGGTTATGAGAAAGCTTCTTCGTCCAACAAGGTACTTCGACCCTCCCGATGAAGCTGGTTCAATGACTGATTCTTCTTGTGATAGCTGTGAGGAGCAGGAAGATACAACGCCTCCTAGGAAGCGTTGCTTTCTATGCGCTAGTTTCGAACATGTTGGTGAACAGTGTTCAATGGGACACGACTCTTGTCCTAACGACGGGTCCATTTGTCTGAAATGCGGAGGCATGGGACATGATATGTCTTTGTGCAAGTACGAATACACTGAGGATGATCTTAAGGATGTACAGTGTTATGTTTGTAAAGGCTTTGGCCACATGTGTTGTGTGGGGGCTTGTGATTCACTCTCGTGGGCTGTGTCTTGTTACAAATGTGGTAGACTGGGTCATGTTGGACTAGGGTGTGGTAGACACTACGAGGAACCCCCCACGTGTTGGGGGAAAAGGGATTGCTCAAGTAGGGATAGCTCAAGTAGATTAGCTGCGAAGAAAAGGAGACGTCTTGAGAAGGCTCTGGCTACTTCTGCGGCTATTAGGGAAAGGCTTGAGAAGAAGAAGCAGATGAAACTGGAAGAAGAACAAGAGCGGCATTCTACTCTTGATGAATCTAATGGGAAGATGGAGAAGAATGGTGGAAACTTTGAAAAGGGTTCTACTTCCCACGAATCTAATGGGAAAAAGAATGATGGAAACTTGGAACAACATTCTACTCTTGATGAATCAAATGGGAAGACGAAGAAGGATAAGGTTACTAAAGAGGAAGATGAACGGCCCTATATACCAGAGAAATCAAATGAGAAGATCTGTTGGATAACAGAGGATTTGGTCGTTGGACAGCATCAGGAGGCTGAGTTCTCCCATTAACCATAGATCACCAACCAAAGTTGAGTTCTGCTAGGCATTTTCCGGGTTCTATGTCGACCATGTGGTGGAAACCATAGAGATTCATCTTCCAACTTCAAAGTGGCTGCCTTATTATCCGCTTACCTCTTGCCATCATCATTGCCGTCAGCAGAACATAGATGGTCATGCACACTCAAGGTACGGTCCGGCCCATCACTTTGGTGAGTTAGGTTAACTCACATAGAGCGCTTGTATTTGATTCGGGATTTGGGGTAGCTTCTTTTTGTTTTGTTATCTTCTTCTCTTAGACAAGTAGTTTGTGTTGTGCCAGTCCTCATTTGTGAAGTGATATGTTTTTTGATTTTCAGATTTATGAAAAATAGGTTTTGATGGCAATGCAAGGAATCAGACTTTATAGTTCACAAACTAACTGTTATATTCCTAGTGAACTGCAACCACTGAAATCTTCTTATGAGGAAGTCAAAAACTATAAGTTTGGTACATATAATTTGATAAAATACATATATATAAAAGAAACCTTTGACAACCCTTTGCTTAGCTAGGGTCCGTCCTTGCACGGTGGTGGCTCTTCCCAAAGAGTTTCAAGCGATGTTTTTGTTGGTTCTGGAAGCTGCTTACCTTGAGATGCGGATGTGGATTCTAACTACCGAGTAAGATACGCATTGCATGTTATGGAGACAAATACTTTGGAAAGTACACACTGTTCCTCATCCCTAGAACATCCATTCTCGGCTCAAAGGATTGTCACACTAATCATCTCTGTCCATTTCCATTGGCATCTCGCTACCACTAGGGCGGCTACAAGTTTAAACCGGATAAAACATTGGTCTCATGTCTCTAATTTCTTTTAGAAAAACTATATGGACATAGGTCTTCAAACTTTTTAAACTTTCAAATTTGTTGAAAAAATTTTCCAGCTGAAATCTTTAATAAATTACTTATTTCTAAATCTGAAAACCGATCCTGGTTACAACATGAGCAAAAAGCTCTTTGATATTACGTATATTAGGACATGAATAAATCCGATATTTTAGCAGCATTTTTAATTTATGATTTGATATTTTGGTTTTTATAATTTTTGGTTAAAAAATAATTTTTATATTTTTTAGTGAAATTTGGAGTCCTACCAAAGGAAGATCCACTAATTGGCGATATACCAAAACTCCAAAAAAGTGTAACTGTTGGTAATGTATATTTACTCTGCTATCCCTTCAAACTCAATCTCTCTCCTGACCGTAAATTGTTAAATTGACCATATCTCACCTAGACAAAATCTTACTAAAGATTTGAATTTATTTTATTACTGTACGCATATCTTCTTCTAAGATCATATTATTATCAATTCTACATATTTGTATTATCTTTTTCAAACTCTCTCATAGATAGACATTTAAACTCTCTATCAAGTTCTACTCTTTATAAAATCTTGGTAACTGAAGCTTCTATGTGTTTTGTTTTTTTTCATGGACACACTTTATAAGTTTCAAAAGATTGTTCATAATTAAGCTTTCACCACACACATATGCAAAATCAGTGAATCCCACAACAACTTTCGAGAGAGAGCCAAACCAGATTTTGAATATGCATAAAGAAGAGATGAAGATGATGATGGGTCATTCCAGTGGTGACATGAATGATTTTCAGGAGTTTGAGCCGACGAACCTGCAACGTCTCTGTTTGGGTGGATAATTAAATTTATTACCAGTTCGTAAAACTATTAACCGTAAATTTTATTTAATGGGTAGTCAGCAAAATTATAATACTATAACATTGAACTCCGGATAACTAAAAATTGGGTTTCTCATTACCATTAACAAGTTATTGAACAAGTTACACATCTAACTACAAAATTAGCAAGCAAACTTATATCATAGACGGTTAGAGTAGGGGTTTGAGTTTATGGTTAAACCTATTGAGCATAAGGATATAATAATTTATAGCTAATATATTAGTTAGTTGTTCATTAAATGTGTTAGCCATTCAAAAAATGTGGTAACCATCCACGAGGAAAACTGGACATCTAATAATTTATTTATACAATTTAGATTAGTCGGTTACTAAACATCAAATACGTAAACTTATTAGATTAACCGGTTAAGATACATCTGATACGGTAACTTATTAGATTAGTCGGTTATTTTTGTAAATATTCGACATCTAATTATTGTTGACGAATCCTATTGTTTGGACCATGTCATTAACCCATGCTTGTATTCTAAATTGTATAACTATATATTTGATTAAATTATAGATATTTATTTTAATTAGTTAGCTAAAGAATGACAACCATAACCAAATTTTCCAAATGATTTGATATTGAATTATGTTTCTGTTAGTAAATGTGTGACCATATAATGAATTTTACATGTTACTATAACTATTAATCCTTCTCGAGAACACAAAAAAAATCTAAAACATATCTTTGCAAATCTTTTTATATCCACTTTGCAAATCTTCAGAAGATATCAATCTTGTGTCAGAGGCGACACTGTAGCATCCAACACGGGAATGAGAGTTTTCATCTGGGCAGGGCATTATCGTCATTCACATCGCAGCGTAGCTTCCACTTTTTTTTTTTTTTGGTATTCTGCTAATTTACACTTCTTTCTTTGTTTTCCATCCAATTAACTCTATTTTTTATGTAAGAGATGGTTCTTACTTTTTTACCAATAAAGTATATTTGAGAAAGATTGTATATTTAACAATTAAATGGTCTAATATTTTTTAGTTTTGTGTTTATTCATAAAATCATTTAGTTACAAAATTTTAATCGTTCAGTCCAACCCGCTCTGTAGCGAGTTGAGTCATTTTTCAATGATATTGATACTTCCAAGCACTACCATTATCCAAAATATGGAAACAGCTTACGTTAAAAAAAAAAATTTGCAGAACATATATATATATAAATCAAAAATAGAAATTTCCGGATCGAGAAGAAGCCGTGAAGGAAGGAAGAAGATAACCTCTTTCGTCACGCTTCCCAATACATCTTCTAACCTCAATTATCATCTCCACCATATATAAACTACCATTTTTTTTAGCCTTCGTGATCAACCATCAAAAGCTGCAGCAGAAAGTATGGATGCGAACCAACGTATAGCGAGAATCTCTGCTCATCTCAACCCTCCTAATCTCGATCAGGTGTTCCTTTCTCTTCTTTTATTGTATTCTCAGTTACAGATTCTTCATAGGCAGTTTGGTGATCGGATCATATGATCATTTTGCATTTTTTTTTTGTTAGATGAGTTCCGGGTCGGGTGTGGGACGGGTGGATTGCCGGGCGAAAGGCGGATCCCCTGGATTCAAAGTGGCGATACTTGGAGCAGCGGGAGGGATCGGACAGCCACTTGCGATGTTGATGAAGATGAATCCGTTGGTCTCGCTTCTTCATCTTTACGACGTTGCTAATGCTCCTGGTGTTACTGCTGATATTAGTCACATGGACACTAGTGCCATCGTAAGCTCTATACCACACTATCTCCTTTAGTGTTTTTGAGCTAATTGGTACTTAATGAAACTATTACAAGTTATTTAACTTTTAATGTTTTAAGGCTTAAATTCGAAGAAATTGTTATTTTTAAAAAGATTATATTACATAGTTGGAATCTTGGAGATCATCAGATCAGTGCAGTCCCATGTTAAGAAAAAAAAATCGTGGCGATGAACATTAAGCTCAAATTTAGCTCCCTTCTAAGTTATAAAGTCTAGTGTTTTCGAGGCTAATTATAGTACTTAGGTAATGGTTTCATAGAGGAAATGAAAATTATCATTAGTTATATGATTCTTTAATATAGAAATTGTTGATTGATAAAAATAAATCTAAATTCAAGATTCTAAGGTTTTCTTTAGGCTATGATCGAGAGTTGGCACTTATGAGAGGGCTTAATAGAGATAATTTAGTTGATCAATTAATTGATAAGCTGAGAGTATTGAGCTCAAGTATCGCCAAGTTAAAAAAAAAAAAATAGTGGCTATGAACATTAAGCTCAAGGTTATGGACACTAGTGTTGTTTATAAGTTCAAGATTCTAAGTGTTTTTAGGCTATGCTCATGAGTTAGTACTTATATGATGGCTTAAAGGAAATTTGTATGGCTATGATTTTTGTCAACTTTCTTGGAACGTTGTTTCAGGTTCGTGGATTTCTCGGACAACCGCAATTAGAGGAAGCACTTACGGGTATGGATCTAGTGATTATACCTGCTGGTGTTCCGAGGAAACCAGGGATGACCAGGGATGATCTTTTCAACATTAACGCTGGGATCGTCAGGACACTCTCTGAAGCTATAGCTAAGTGCTGCCCTAAAGCGGTTGTGAATATCATCAGTAATCCTGTGAACTCTACCGTGCCCATTGCAGCTGAGGTTTTTAAGAAAGCTGGCACTTTTGATCCGAAGAAACTCATGGGAGTCACCATGCTTGATGTTGTTAGGGCTAATACTTTTGTGGTAACGCACTCATCTTCCTTATCTTGTCTTCCATGTAAGAGGACTCAAGTGGTAACTTGGTTGCCTTTATGGTTCTAAAACAGGCGGAAGTAATGAGTCTTGATCCTCGAGAAGTTAATGTTCCTGTTGTTGGAGGACACGCAGGAGTTACAATTTTACCCCTGCTTTCTCAGGTTTAAGATGGTTCACCTGAAATTCATCTTCCTGTTTGTTTCAAAACTCTCAGCAGTTATGTCTGTTACAGATGAAACCTCCTTGCTCTTTCACTCAAAAGGAGATCGAATATCTCACAGACCGCATCCAAAATGGTGGCACTGAAGTTGTCGAGGTATCTATATATATAAACCCTTCTCTCTCAGCTTTCGTTGCTATTAGCTTGTGCATTGACCGTGTTAAATCACTTTGCAGGCAAAAGCTGGGGCAGGTTCTGCAACACTATCCATGGTAGATCCTTATTGTAACAATATTTTGAACTTGTAAATATATATCTCAACACGTTGAATGTTATTTACAGGCTTACGCAGCAGTGAAGTTTGCAGATGCTTGCCTCAGGGGTCTACGAGGCGATGCAAACATCGTGGAGTGTGCATTTGTGGCATCTCATGTACAGTCCCTTCTGAAACTCATCTGTATAATGCATATATAAATCTTTTCTTTAGCCTTAACATGTGAACTATGTCTTAAATCTACACACAGGTGACTGAGCTTCCCTTCTTCGCATCAAAGGTGCGTCTGGGACGTTGTGGGATCGATGAAGTGTACGGTCTTGGACCACTGAACGAGTACGAGAGGTAAAAGTTGAGATCTTTGTATTGAATGATTTTTTGGCTTCGGACTTGTTCTATATTCATATCTGGTTTCAAGCCCCTTTGTCACTAATTGATCAGGATGGGATTGGAGAAGGCAAAGAAAGAGCTTGCAGGGAGTATTACAAAAGGTGTTACCTTTGTGAATAAGTAAAAGAGAGTTGAGATTGTTCACTTTGGAATAAGAACAATGCCTCACAATAAAATGTCTTGCTAGTAGTCTGATCTTAAAGATTCCAGAAACTGCAGGCAACCACTATGTTCTTAGATACGAGAACGTTTATGGGTTTATATAAGATTGGGTTATTAAAATGAGAAATAAAATAGCAATAATATTTCGATTCTTATCTTTCTGCTGTTTCCTCAAAGGCACCCTGCAAACACTCAACTTATGATCAAACATTCAGTAAAGAATGTTGTGTTCTATTTTCGAGTAGCTATGTTAATAATGTTCAATGTTTTGTAACTTTGTGTGTATATATAGCAAGTACGAATCTAAAACATATCCTGGCTATCGGTTAACTGCGTATATTGATCTGTATTGGAGAGAGGTACCATAATATTTAGTAAGAATCAACTGACTAATTCTAGCATGAGGAAATTACAACCTAGACGTATTTTTGCCTTCTTCAGTTATACTTATACATACTTTGGACTGGTCAAGCATTTTCCTCGTGTAAATTACCTAGCAAATCCTTGGTATGGATGAAGGTGAAATCGAGAGGATCGTTGACAAAGATGAAGATGACGAGGAATTAACATAAGGCCGTGCTTCTTTCCCTGAAGATGACAAGTTTTATGTGGATGATAAATGTCATGTTCTATGTACTTTGTATCATTGAAACAAAAGTTGATAACTTGTGGTTGAAAAGTGTTAATTTTGATGTAAAATATGCTTACATGGTTACTTCATCCTCTCAGATTCAGTGTACCTATTATGCCTTATTGTTTTAGGTTGATTTTTCTGGAGTTGTGAATGATGCGTTTCTAAATAAACTAGACTTAGAAAAGGAAACGAGGAAGCTGACAAATCACGAGAAGAGGAGGGAGGGGTAGTCTTACAAGCAATATATGGTTACAGCAATAAGGCGGCAGCTGGAGGGTAATTGTCCAACACTTGTGCTGCAATGGCAAGATTACATATGACTAAAGTTTGGGTTTTAAGGCCATAGACGTGTCGTATATTACATTGACAGCTGAGCACTGGGAAAATGGTCTCTTGACCTCGGCCTAGAAGATTAAGAACATGATGGTAAATTAAGAACCGCCTGCAACCTAATGTAGTTACTTTTATTAGTCTCATTCACATGTTTTTAGGTGTAAAGTTACAAGAGGCTAGTAAAATTTTTGGTGGGATGAAAACGAGAAACGCGGCTCCCAGTACCACTAATAAGTGTAAACACTTTGATTAATGGGTACAACCAACATGATGATCACGAAATGGCGTACTTATGTAAATAGTGTCTTCCAGTGGATTAAGCATGACATTTGATGATCACGAAAGGGCGTACTTATGTAAATAGTGTCTCCCAATGGATTAAGCATGACATTTTGACAAACACCAAATCTGGTAACACTAGCCACCATGACCATACCTTCTATAACCACAACTCTAAACTTATTACACCTCTCACCTCTGTAGTCCAGCAGCTACCCTGACTCGCCTAACCACAATTTTCATGTCCACATCTTTCCATTCAAGAAAAAAACTATTTAATATTCCTTTATTTAGCTTGTTACAACCTTGGGAAGTTTTGTAGACATATTGTTGTTATGAAAGATATTTTTGTCCAAAAAATAGCAATACGGACCAAATACACTTCAAATTCAAAGTAACTCATTTTGTTAATAAACCATTCCAAAGTATCTAAATATTTAAACCACTCTACTAGCATCAGGAGTGACACGGGTTTGGCATCCAGAGCATACCAACAGAATACAACAAATCATCGAGATGTGCGAGAGACCATAAAATACTCAATCCTATAAATTCACTTAATGTCATTTGTATAAAGAAAAGTCATTAGATAATACCCAAAATCAATTTTAAAATATGTACCCTGTGTGAAAATGTGGACCAACTAATTTCTTCCGTATTTTTTCTTATCAAACGTGGACCAAGTATTTAGATATGTAATTAATGATAGTCATACATTATTTGATTTAAGCTTAGTTGTGAAGTCATAATCAAGCGGAGATTTCTTGGTCCCAAGAAACCAATAAAAAACTGTTCAACCTTGGTTATTAAAACAAACTACTGATATTAGGGAAAATATCAAACCAATGATACAGCCATCATTAAGTACACACACTAATCCAGCTATTACACTCGACACATCCCAATCACACGTTTTAATCATTGCGAAATTCACATAACGGTTTTGCAAAATACTATTCCGTTAACGCAAGTCTTATGTTCTTCACCACCTCTTCAATAGGCCTAGAAAATTTGTTGTCCATCTGCAAAATTATTACAGAAAAATAAAAGAAAATTACATTTTGGGATGAAGAAACAGCCTGCTTAAATAAATGTATTATTCCTTTTTGTTTCATAATATAAGGTGTTTCGATAAAAATGTATTAATCATATATTGTTTAACCAATTATATTTTATGATTAGTTAAATTATATTAAATCATATACTAAATGATACTTTTTTTTATCAAATACTAATGATACTTAAAATACAATATACATATATTTTTAACTAAAAACTCTTTTTTTTTTTTGGTCAAAAACTAAAAAATCTCAATTATAAAATATATGCGTTATAAAACATATAGATTTTACCTTAGAGAGAATGGTGATCACGAGAGTAGAACTTCCAAAGGGTAAAGTAAAACTATTGACTACTTCAAGACGAAACTTCTCCAATGAACTCAAGATCTTGATTATACACCCTTTTTTCTTCTCACAGTGGATCCTAATCAACAAATCTCTGTCTGAAGCTCGAGCTTCGATCATAGGCATAGTCTGCTTGAAGATTGAAACTTCGTCTATAGACGAAGACGGAGGAGGAGCTGCAGAGCAAGTCGAAGAATAAGATGAAGAATCATCGTCCACGTAAATTTGAGATCTCTTCACCAATATAACCGATTGATCCATTTTATTTGTTCCCACTCGCTCTCCCTCCAACTTCTTTACGCGTTCTTGAAGTTGTTTTAAATGTTTGATCGCGTCTTCAAGAACAGTTGCCTTGTCAGCCTACATGCATAGACAAAATTATTTATTAAAGATCTTGTTTAGTATCATCCTTACAAAGACAGCACAGAACATTCAAGATTTGACGAGTAGCGTGACCCACCAAAACTTTTAACATTTAATTGCTTACGAGGAAAAAATAAAGGACACTTTAAGATTTGACAAGAAAGGTTTATAAAATGCAATTCGCAGGTATAAAATTATTCTTCTATTTAAAAACTAAAGAAATACGTAAAACAAATAATAGAGATATCAATAAAGAAATGGTTTCTTGGTTCTGACCTTTTTGAGGCCAGGAAGAAGAGCAGAGAGAGCAATCAAACGTTCGTTGAGCTTTTGTCTACGTTTACGTTCAGCCAAAACATGTTCTTTCAATAGATGTGGCTCTCTTTTTCCTCCATTATTACTACACTCTTTTCTTTTGGACCCAACATTTTGATCCATGTTTGCTTGGTTGGAGAAGTTAAAAGATGTCTCGACCACGTTCATCTTCGGGTCTGGAGCCCCGAACGAGATCACTTGCGGCGTTGTGAGGGAACCAGATGAAGAAGATGAAGATGGAGAAGAAGATGATGTTGAGTTGACTTTCAGTTGTTTTGTAGGTCGCTCGGGTATCAACATGAATCCGGATTCGGACCCAGAACCCGTTTCTGTGTTCGGATGATCCAAAGTTTCTCCTTGTACCACCGGGAAATCAGATTCCCAATCATCAATCAAGTACTCGTCAGTGTCAATCATCAAATCCGTAAAGCTTGAATCTTCCATATTGCCTGCGGAATCACAAAAAAAAACTTTTACTTAGTACTTAGTCTTTTTTCCAAGAATAGCTTTCTTGTTCTTGATATCAGACAACAAGAAAGCAAAGTTATGTTGAAATAAGATAATTCGGATATGAAACAAAAGCAAAAAAATTAAAAAACAAGCTTAGAAGAGAGCATATAGTTACTTTTGTTTTAAGGGAGTAAGTATTATGTCTTTGTTTTTGTTATGTGATTGCAGACTAGTGAACTCTTTATAGTGGTTTTGGAATGGACGCGGCTTCATAATGTGTGCATGTATTGATTTGGGTAATAATAATGTTTGGTTATTTTATTATTAGTTTGTATTATATAATATCGGCTTGAAAAAGCATATGGGTTAAAACAAAAGCATAGTTCTTTTATGAATTTAGCCGGGTCGCATATCCAAAATACCACAATATTGAGCAACCGGTTACCCAATTTGGTAGGTTTTGCTTTATGTTTTTAATAAACTAGCAAGAGATCTTGATTTGTTTTATTATAAATAAATCATATTCAATTGTAGAAAGTTGATTTCTATTTTGAAGTAGCACTACATATAAACAAAACAACTTTTTTGGATAACTTTACATGTGTTTCAACGATTTTATTAAATTGTTACAAGACAGTTAGTTTTTTCTGTCATTGTATTTTTTATTTTTACATATAATTTTAGTTAAAAAAATATTTAGTTTATTATTTAGCTTGCTTGTAATCTCATCTGATGAACTAGACTTTCATTATTATAAAGTAAAATAACATGTTATATTAAAAAGTCAGAAAAGTTACTTTGGTCATTTGAGTTAAGTACCTAATTAGAAAATTCATATATTGATATATACTTCATTTATCTTGGGAAATTTTCATAATTACCACATTATTGGTATCATTATTCATCTTAACTTTTACTAAAAAGATGTTTTCACACATATATTCTTTATTAAGAGGTAAGAGACTTTTATATCATTGCTCTCTCTCTCTCTTATATATATATAATAAAATATAAAATAACTTTTTGTACTTTTTCGAATTATATAGTTTCAAATCTGAACCTTTTCAACTATTTTTTTTGAAATTATCTTTTTCAAGTTCAAAAATTCTTTTTAAAATTTTTTTAAAATATATATTTATATATTTATTAATATTCTAAATTGTACATTCTAAATCCTACTCCACTCCTCAACTCTAAATCCCTAAACCTTCGATCACACCTCAACTCTAAATCCCTAAACCTTCAATTAACTAATCCTATGATTATAAATGTCTTTTTTCTTTTTTAAAATTGAAAGTAGAATGATCAGGTAAACATGGAAATATAGTAATAAGAATATGATATTTAGACAATTTTCCATTTATCTTTCATCTTTCTCTATTTACCTAGTGTAAAATACATATACGGAGTTTAGAAGATTGATGATGATCCTACCATTTATATGTTATACATATAATAATAATATTTTGTGGATTTAATCATAGACGCATAATAGTATTTAAACGAACAATATATGGCATACACTGATGTCTATATAGATTTTAGAATATAAGTATAATATGTATAAATATTATTATATCATTTCTTTCATATATTTAAATCTATTAATTTGATTTATTCTAGAGATAGATTTAAATTCATAAGTTTATCTGTAGACAAGTTTTGATTTTTTTTTTATAATAAATAATTTATACATGAAACTATATTTTCTTTTTTAACTTTCTAAAACACAATGTATCCCTTGTATATTAAAAGTTAAGCATTACAATAATTTAGCTATGATACTTGTCATTGCCAAAGTACTTTTCAAATTTCTTAGAGAAATAGTTGGTCCATTAAATTTTATATTATATTTTTTATTAGACTAACCATAAAATTAATTAATAATTAATAATTAATATTTTCATTTTTTCCATACAAAAAAATCATGAAATTTTCTAATGTGATTAAATTTTGTGTATCTTCCATAATTGATGTTTAATTATATTATTAACATAAAATAAACAAGCATATTAACCATATTTAAAAATTTATATTGTTCGTATATGTTATAATTTGAAGTTTTTAAAAAAATATAAATTCTAAAACTGTTAAAAGTCCTACATTATTTGCGATCAAAGTTTTAAATTTTTATTATAAAAATATAAATGATCATGAAATCATATGAGTAAAAAGTCACATTTAATAGATACAAATATATATATATATATATATATATACCATATAGCAATATAAAAATAATTTAATTGATAACTTAAAATTTACTTTTAAAATTTGTAGTGAACTTTGAAGAACGTTATAAATTATTACACTATTTAGTCTCACATTAAAAAAATGTTATTACGGGTTTACAATTTCTTTTATAAATAGATACAACAAATACCCTAAATTTGTAATATAAAACTAAGCTAATGTTTAAATATTTATAGAACATTTATAAGTATTAATTAAACCCTAAATACTAATCACTAAAGTCTAAACCAAAATATTACTAAGATTTGTAGTTAGTGATATTTTTGAAAAGTGGTATTTAATTTGTGATATTTTTAACAATTTCTCTAGAGATAGATAACTATAAAATCATATGATGAAGAAGTCTCATATTAAAATATATTATATGTCTATGTTAATATCATTTATATTTAGTTACGTCTACACAAAATATATTAAAAAAAAATTGTTTTGATTTATTTATCATAAAATAAGGTTTTGATATGTTTGCGCTAATTTAGTTATATACAGTTTAGTGTGTTTTATTATTTAATATTTATTTCTTACTTTTATTAATTTTATAGTATACAAAATGTAAAATAGTTAATATTATTGATAAATTATTTTTATATACAATGTTCATTTCGCGCAAAGATACTGATTTTAAACTAGTATATTAATATTATCCGTTTATGCTTCATTTAGGCGCTAGGCAGTAAAGAGTCGTTCCATGTAACTACCTTTAAACACGTTTTAGGACACTGCATCTACCAAATTATTCAAAACTAAAGGTGGGTAGTACAGTTTATCGTTTTGGATTAACTTGGAAATAATGCGTGGAGATTTGAGCAGCTACAGATGCGATGAGATCTGACATTGGAAAACTAACATTAAGTTTCGATTAGTAGCAATAAATGTTTTCTGATAAAATAGTTTTTTATCTAACTTGAGATATTTTTTGAGGGTCTATGACTTTCGGTATGGTACAACGTCCGTCTAGCATGGCGGAGGAATCAGATAAAGTATATAAAAAGGCATAATGGCATATGCATATGAAATATGGTTGAGTGATAGAACTATACTCTAATAAAAACTGTAACCAAAAAACTATATTAAAATTAGAAGTCAATCTAAGATTTTAGTTCGTTTTAAATCTGTTTCATAATATATTCGAGTTTTATAAACAAGTATATATTCAACGTGAAGTTGTATATATTATAAAGAGTTTTTAATAATTAAAACCCCAACTAAAGATCATTCGTAAATCAAACTCCCAACTATTTATGTTTTATTTTAATCCCTCAACTTCGATTCTGTTAATATGAACAACCCTCCGTTTACGGTGTCGCCATTTATGGACGGGAACCGTTAACCCAAAATGCTGCGTTTCAGTTAATTGATAAAATAACACGTCTTTCTCCCTGAACGATACGATGTTTGATTAAAACGGCAACACGTTCTCCATTCTGACCCAGCAAGATATTAATCAAAGAAAATCTCTCCAAAATCCCCAAATTTCGACGAACCCTAATTTTATACCTTTGAGAATATCTTGCCCAGACATGATCTCATAGTCGATTGAGAGTGATTAAAGGTCGTATAAATAGTTTTTAACCTCTTTATTGAGAGATTGAGAGCTGATATCGAGATAGAAAGACTATCTGAGTTGTGGTTAATATAATTGTAAAATCTGCAAACAAAAACTTCCGGAGCTTGCAAGATGTTAAGGTAGGGTTTTGTGTTTCCTATTGAAATTTTGAATCTTGTGGAATTGGTTTGATGTAAGTTTTTAATTGATTACATGATAAGTTTTTTCCAAGTACACATTGGAGGGTATTGGGGAGGTGATGGATCGTACAATGGAGGTCAGACAAGAAGCTTACGACTTGATTATGAAGAGCCAAGTATAGCGATGTTAAAAAAATATGGTGTTGGATGCTGGGTTTTCAGAAAATATGAGTAAGTTTTCTTACTTTCAAAATGGAGTAGTTGGCGATCGTCGTATGAAACTGTGTGGTGATAGTGATGTTAGAGATATGATTAGAGGTTCAGCAGAGGTAGAATCCTTGAATCTGTATGTGGTTAGAGAAGATGACCCATATCTTGATGATGTGCTCTTTGGAGAAGTGGAAGAAGAAGAGGAAGAACATGATGATGGTGAGGAGTTTGATTTTTACCGTGATGATTTTGTGGAGAGCGATGGATCAGATGATGATGATGGCGCTAAGATAGGATTCTTTGTCACATAATGTGTATTTTGTGGGCTGAGTATAAGGAGACAAAGCTTCCAGAGTCGGTGGTTTTGGATTGGTATTCTGTCGAGAAATGGAAGCTTTGTTACAGTTCACTTCTATTTCCAGTGAATGGTATGAAACTGTGGGAAACTCATAGCGACGTCGTAGTCATGCCTCCACCAGACATGATCATGCCAGGAAGACCCAAGAACAATGATCGAGTCAGAGATCCATCCGAGGCAGCTTCTCAACCTTCTCAAAGTTCTCAAAATTCTCAAAAAACTATTGTGGTAATCTTTCTATAATACAAGTATACTCTGTCATACATCTTTTTGTTAATATTTACTTCTGATGCAGACATGTAGCAATTGCTTACAAACGGGTCATAACATAAGGACATACCCACAAGAGCTAGTGCCTAAACCAGCAAAGTCGGTTCCACTATTACCCTCCTTTCATGCAAAATCTGTCATGGTAACAAACTTTATCATTCACTTGTTTTATTGGGTGACATGTACTAATTGACTTAATTTATTGTGTAGACATGTAGAAATTGTCAACAAACCGGACACAACAAGCATAAGTGTCAACTCAAGCCAGTGCCTAAGACCTCTAGCCTTCCCCGTGGAAGACCATTCAAGAAACAAAAGACCTCCGAAGAACCAAGCAAAGAACCAAATGCGAAGTAGTGTCGCAATTGGTGTATTAGTGTTTCTGTTTTTTTTTTTATTGTTGCATTTAGGAGTTTAGTAAACGCAGTTGTTGTTTTTTGGATGTTTCAAAACGTGGGTTAGTGGTGTTGTTGTATGTTGAAGTTAATATTACTGCTAGTTGTCTTTTGGATGTTACAAT